TAAAAAATAAAAATAAATGTTTATGACTCTAGGTAAGAATTCCTTCAATTGTGCATTTACAGATTAAATTTTTTTAATATGGAGGATCATGTTTTTAAAAAATATTTTATTATGAAAAGAAGTCAATGTATACAAAAGTAAAGAGAGTAGTTTAAGGAGCCCTTGTATCTGTTTTGCTTACCACCTAATGTTAGAAGTCATCAATACTCTGCCATTCTAATTCCATCTAAAACAACCCTCCTGCCCCCTTAGCTGCTGGATTATTTTAAAGCAAATCCCAAACACCTATCTTATCTGCAAATACTTTGACAATGTATCTCTAAAAGATGAGAATTCTTTTTTTCTTTCTTTTTGTTTAACATAACTAGTATGTCATTATCACACCTAAAACAATGGTAATTCCTAGATAGCATCTAGTACCTGGTTATTGTTTGAGTTTTTTAAAATGTCATAAATGTCTTTTTAATGTCAGTTTGTTTTAGTGAAGGGCCAAAGTCTACAAGTTGCATTTAGTTAGTATGACACTTGATTCTTTCTTTTTTTTAAGATTTTATTTTTAAGTAATCTCTACACCCAGTGTGGGACTCAGGCTTACTACCCTGAGATCAAGCATCACCTGCTCTACCAACTGAGCCAGCCAGGCACCCCTGAAAGTCTCTTTTAATAAAGAAAAGATTCCCTTCCACTATCTTTTCTATTGTAATTTATATTTTTGAAGAAATGGGCCATTTGCTACCTTCTGGATTTAGCTGACATTTCAGTCTTATATTGTTCCATATGTTCTTCTTTCTTTCGTTTTATCTATGGATGATTTGTTTGATCTGGAGGGTTAGAAGATTCAGGTTGGATTTTTCTTTTTCTTTGATAAGAATATTTAATGGATGGTATAATGAAATCAATTACTATATCATTTCAGGAGGCACATAATTTTTGGTTCTCTCTTTTATAATGTTAAAATTGATCGGTGGATGTAGATGTTATAGCTGGTCCATCCATTGTAAACTCCTCAGGCTATCACTTGAAACAGTTAAGCAATCATTAATGATTACTGAATAAATTCATTATTTCATAGGAATTACAAAATTATGATATTCCAATTCTGTTCTAACGTCTTCATTTATTAGCTAGAATCATTCTCTAAGAAACTTTTCCTCATCATTTATTTGGTTATCCTGCAATAGGGATCTTATATGAAAAAAATTAATATAAATCTAATTAATTACCTTTACTGAAAGTAAAAAATCTTTACTTGTTCTGTGATCAAACTGTTTTTTCCATAACTACCTTCCTGACGTGACATGCAGACTTCTCTCCATTATATAGAGCTATTTAGTGTTCCCGAAACTCATCATGTATTTTCCTATCTCCTCATGTTTGTCTTCTCTGGGAAATGACCTTCTTCCCTACCCTCCATTTTGTATTACATTTATCATCTTTCTTTTTTTTTTTTTAAGATTTTATTTACTTACTTTTGCAAGAGAGAGCAAGAGTATGCGCACAAACTGGGGTTGGCACGAGGGAGAAGCAGACTCCCCACTGAGCCGGGAGCCCAATACAGGACTCGATCCCAGGACCCTGGGATCATGATCTGAACCAAAAGAAGACGCTTAACCTAGTGAGCCACCCAGGCGTCCTACACTTATCATCTTTCAACTTAAATTCAACTAATAAAAACTTATTGCCCCATGTCAAATACACCTTTCCCTTTTTTGGGTCCTCAGTGTGTTCTAAAGAGTTTGACTTTTTGACACTTTAGTGAACTTGTGTCTTCTTTTTTCCTTCTTTTAAATCTTAGGACTTTTAAGTTGCTAGAAGATTAGAAACAAATAATTCATTTCTTTTTCCCCAGGATTAGCATAATGACTGGTCCTAAATTGCTCAGAAACTGTATCACAGATTATTTATTCATCCACTTGCTAGAAGACTAAAAGAGCCTATTTCATTTTTCAGTTTTGAAAAGTAATTAACTATAGTATAGAAAAAGTGGCAGAAATTCTTTATTGGATTTCTTTCTTCCACAAAATATTGTGTAAAACTAGATATGCAATATGCACTCTGTATAAAATACCATTTTTAAAAGTTCCTGTATTAAACAGGTATATGTATTTATCAAAACTTCAAATGGTATATCGTGGATTTGTACATTTCATTGTGAGTAAATTTTACCTTAAGAAAGGTGAACAAATATTACACTCTGGTTAATGATTTGCATTCTCAAATATTTAGGACAAAGTATACTGGCATTTACAGTTTACTCTGAACTGTATAAAAGTAAGATGGATTGATGGATGGATAAATGTGTGATAAAACAAATAAAATGTTAATGATAGATCCTGAGTGGTGGGTATACAGATTTTCACTGTGCAGATTCTTTAAAATTTTCTGTATGTTCAAAATTTTCCATAATAAAACGTTAGGGAAATGGGAGGTGAGTTTTTAAAAAGAGGAAGTAGGGGCGCTTGGATGGTGCAGTCGGTTGGGCGTCCAACTCTTGGTGTCAGCTCAGGTCATGATCCCAGGGTCATGAACTCGAGCCCCACATCGGGCTCTGCACTCAGCATGGAGTCTGCTTGAGATTCTCTCTCCCTCTGACCCTCCCACTCTTGCACGCTCTCTCTCTCTAAAATTAATATATCTTGGGACGCCTGGGTGGCTCAGTCGGTTAAGCGGCTGCCTTCGGCCCACGTCATAATCCCATGGGGTCCTGGGATCGAGTCCCACATCGGGCTCCTTGCTCAGCAGGGAGCCTGCTTCTCCCTCTCTCTCCCTCTGCTTGTGCTCTCTCTGTCAAATAAATAAAATCTTTAAAAAAATAAATAAAATAAATATATCTTTTAAAATTAAAAAAAAGAGGAAATAACAACAAAACCCACATTCCATATTCCTACATATAGTCTCTCCATCCCCCAAAGCTAATTATTCACATTGAACAGGAATGTGCCCTTACAGGGATCGGTGTCCTTCAGGGATGTGGCTGTAGATTTCAGCAGAGAGGAGTGGCAGCATCTAGACCTTGCTCAGAGAAACCTGTACCGGGATGTGATGCTGGAGACCTACAGTCACCTGCTCTCTGTAGGTAAGCACAGTGACTTGGGTCCACACAGAGTGTTTCCATTCTTAGTTGCTGAATGCCGTCAGACATCTGAAGTATGATGGTTTTGTCCTTGATTTGTCTAGGATTCTTTATCCCCTTGGGCATTCTGATTATTACTCTGTTCCCGGAAATACATGGTTTCATTCCTGAAGAACAAAACTTCATTGAACAAGACTTTATTGATTGTGCTTTGAAACATAATTAGCTGATCCAGTCCTTTATCATTTCTTACGAACAGGGTATGAAGTTCCCCAACCAGAAGTTTTCATGTTGGAGCAAGGAAAGGAGCCATGGGCAGTGCAGGGTGAGAGCACACATCAGAGCTGTCCAGGTGAGTGACTGTGACTCAGACAGATGGGAGAAAGGGGAGCAAATCTCAGCTGTCTTGAGAAAAACTGGCATCTTTGAAATGCTATTAAGACGACTCTTTTGGAAGGCTTTAACTTTTTTTGTATTGCTTAAAGACCCTTGACATTGGCCTCTCAAATGACTAAATGCCTTCATCATGTCTAATCATCTTCTTTGGCTTTTTAGAATCTGGATCACATGCCAGTCTGCCTCATTAAAGGTTTTCTTTTTTTCTTGGTTATGCTCCTTTTCTCAGACATTCTTTTTCTTTCTGCCTTCCCCATTGTCCAAGATTCTTTATGCATTCAGGCATTCATGGATCTGCTTTCTTTCAAAGTTACTGTTAAGTCACACACTCCCAGTCCTGGTAGTCCCCTGTCATTTCTTTCTTTCCACTATGGGATGCTTTAGAACATTAACTACCAGCAGCCTGTCTTCCTATTTTCTCCATAGGGACTAACATAAGATTTCTCATTTCCTCATTCCCCATGCCTTCCACCCAACTGATGACTTAGGGGTAATTGTCTCTTAATCTTTAGGAGGACTTTTTTGGTATTTCCTTCCAATGTTGGTTGACTTCACACTAACCAGGGTCTCTCTGCCTCATTGGCTGATTTTTGTAATTGTTTTATTTCTATACTTCATATGATGGAGTTTGAGTTTAATCATGGTCCTCATTCAGGGCACACTGCCATCATCAGTCTGGATAAAGATTCTCTATTACAGTAGTTGGACCTTATCCACAATTTCACTTTCTGCAGTTACAGTTACCCATAGTCACCCATGGTCTGAAAATATTAAATGGAAAATTCCAGAAATAAACAATTCATAAGTTTTAAATTGTGTGCCTTTCTGAGTAGCATTATGAAATCTCTTGCCATCCCACTCCATCCTGCCTGGGAGTTGAATCATCCCTTTGTCCAGCATATCCATGCTATAAATGCTACCTGACCACTAGTCAGTCAGTAGGTATCTTGGTTATCAAATTGACACTCATGATATTGCAGTGCTTCTGTTTAACCCAATTACTTAACAGTGACCCCAAAGCACAAGAATAGTGATGGTGGCAATTCCGATATGCCAAAGAGAAGCCATAAAGTGCATCCTTTAAGTGAAAAGCTGAAAGTTCTTGACTAGGAAAAAAAAATCAGGTTCGGTACTATCTGAGGACTCAGGCATCTGCTGAGGGTTTTGGAACATGTCTCCTTCAGATAAGGGGGGAACTCCTCTATTTTATTTTTTGATTTATTACCATTTCTTTTTCCCCACACCCATCTCACTTCTGACCATAGGCAATTGTTTTATATGATGGAAACATATTTTTTAATGCATGGATATTTTAAAATTTAAAGTGACGGGGATTATTCATTTATATAAATGTTGCTGTGCTGTGTATCTTGTTCTTTGCCTTACTTTTTCCACTTCTGTCCATGGTGGGTTATGTTCATAATGTTTATTTACTCTAACCAGTGAATTATATCCTAGAATGTTTCCTATTGCCACTGTCACTAGCCTCTTCATCAAGTGAGTCACCCTCACCCTTTCCTCTGTTCAACATGGATGAGCCATATGACCCTCCCCTCTAGCCTCTGCCAACTGGTCTTTGAGCTAAAACATCATTCTCCTTTGAGGAGAATTTAGGTTTCAAACGTCACAGCAGAAAATTTCTGAAAAAGCTTCTTTCTACATTGAGAAGGAAGGTGATGCTCCAAGTGATATTTTGTTGTATTTCATTCTAGAAGAATTGTGGCAGATGGGTGACCAGATAGAGAGCTATCAGCAAAGAGAAAACAAATCTTTAAGAGATGTTGCTTTCATCAAGAAAATTTTGACTACAAAGAAGGATTATGAATATAAGGATATTAGAAAAATAATTCATGTGAGCCAAAACATTCTTTCACCAAAAAGACCCCATCAATGTGACTCATTTGGAAATGCTTTGAAGCATAATTTAGATTTACACAGTCATTATAGAAACAGTGCATCAAAGAACATTAATAAGATTACTGAAGATAGTAAAATTTCTTCCTGTACAGACCCTGAGTGTTCTCCAACAGGAGAGAAGTTATGGGACCATAATCAATGTGGAAAAATCCTCAGCTATAAACAAGCACCCTCTCAACATCAGAAAATTCATACTGGGGAAAAATCTTATGAATGTGCTGAATTTGGAAAGATCTTCACCCAGAAGTCACAGCTCAGGGTACATCTGAAAGTTCATACAGGAGAAAAACTTTATGTATGCATCGACTGTGGGAAGGCTTTTGTAAAGAAGCCAGAATTCATTACACATCAGAGAACCCATACTAGAGAGAAGCCCTATAAATGCAGTGAATGTGGAAAAGCTTTTTTCCAAGTATCTTCTCTCTTAAGGCACCAGAGAATTCATACTGGAGAAAAACTTTATGAATGCAGTGAATGTGGAAAAGGATTCTCTTATAACTCCGATCTCAGTATACATCAAAAAATTCATACTGGAGAGAGACACCATGAATGCAGTGATTGTGGCAAAGCATTTACACAAAAGTCCACACTCAAGATGCATCAGAAGATTCATACAGGTGAGCGATCCTATATATGTATTGAATGTGGACAGGCCTTCATCCAGAAGACACACTTGATTGCACACCGAAGAATTCATACTGGAGAAAAACCATATGAATGCAATAACTGTGGGAAGTCCTTTATTTCTAAGTCACAACTCCAGGTACATCAGCGAATTCACACAAGAATGAAACCCTTTGTATATACTGAATATGGGAAGATGTTTAACAATAGTTCCAACCTCATTACACATAAGAAAGTTCAAATTAGAGAGAAATCTTCCATATGTACTGAATGTGGTAAGGCCTTTACATACAGGTCAGAACTGATTATACATCAGAGAATTCACACTGGGGAAAAACCTTATGAATGCAGTGATTGTGGAAAAGCCTTTACTCAGAAGTCAGCACTCACAGTGCACCAGAGAATTCATACAGGAGAAAAATCATATGTGTGCATGAAATGTGGACTAGCCTTCATCCAGAAGGCTCACTTGATTGCACATCAAATAATTCACACAGGAGAGAAACCTTATAAATGTGGCCACTGTGGGAAATCCTTTACTTCCAAGTCACAACTCCATGTACATAAACGAATTCACACAGGAGAGAAACCTTATATGTGCACTAAATGTGGGAAGGCATTCACCAACAGGTCAAATCTTATTACACATCAGAAAACTCATACAGGAGAGAAATCCTATATATGTCCCAAATGTGGAAAAGCGTTCACGCAAAGGTCAGATTTGATTACGCATCAGAGAATTCATACTGGAGAGAAACCTTACGAATGTGGTACCTGTGGAAAAGCCTTTACCCAAAAGTCACACCTCAATATACACCAGAAAATTCATACTGGAGAAAGACAGTATGAATGCCATGAATGTGGGAAAGCCTTTAACCAGAAGTCAATACTCATTGTGCATCAGAAAATTCATACAGGAGAGAAACCTTATGTATGCAGTGAATGTGGAAGAGCTTTCATCCGGAAATCAAACTTCATTACTCATCAGAGAATTCATACTGGAGAGAAACCTTATGAATGCAGTGATTGTGGGAAATCCTTCACCTCCAAATCTCAGCTCCTCGTGCATCAGCCAATTCACACAGGAGAAAAACCATATGTGTGCGGTGTGTGTGGGAAAGCCTTTAGTGGCAGGTCAAATCTCAGTAAACACCAGAAAACTCATACTGGAGAAAAGCCCTACATCTGTTCTGAATGTGGGAAGACCTTCAGACAGAAGTCAGAGTTGATTATACACCATAGAATTCACACTGGAGAGAAACCTTATGAATGCAATGACTGTGGCAAATCTTTCACTAAGAAATCACAACTCCAAGTGCATCAGCGAATTCACACAGGAGAAAAGCCTTATGTATGTGCTGAGTGTGGGAAGGCTTTCACAGATAGGTCAAATTTGAATAAACACCAGACAACACACACTGGAGACAAACCTTATAAGTGTGTAGTCTGTGGGAAAGGCTTCGTCCAGAAATCTGTGCTCAATGTCCATCAGAGTATTCACACTTGAGAGGAATGGTATGAGAATACCTCAGTGAGATCAGGTCTGATTTTACATCATTGAATTTGTTCAGAAAAATACGCATATTATCATAAGTAGAAATACCCCATCAAAATGTCACACATTACTGTACAGAAGAGGGCCTTGAATGAAGGGGGCCCTTCCCACATTGTCACTACCTTCATTAAGCCTTGAGGCATTCATACTGGAAGAAAAAGTAATTTTGTCAATTTGACAGATTAGAAGAAGGCTTCTCACGAAAACTATGATGGAACAGGGACGCCTGGGTGGTTCTGTCAGTTGAGCATCCAGTTCTTGATCTCGGCTCAGGTCTTGATCTCATGGTTGTGAGTTTGAGCCCTGCATTGGGCTCCAAACTGGGCATGGAGCCTACTTAAAAAAAAACAAAAACAAAGACAACATACATATATATATGTGTATATATATATACACATATATATATGTATGATGGAACATTGTTATCAAATTCTGCATAGGAAAGCTTATATTATGTCGTGTTAATGATAATCCTGTTTAGTTTGGAATAGGTAAAGTGCCAACAAGTTGAATGGTAGAACAACATAATATATACAATAGTGACAAACCCTAAGTTCTGTGAGATGTTTGCTGCAGAACACATTGTCTGACAGTTTCAGGTGTTTTTTCATACTTCTCTTGAATCTAACATGGTTGTGTGTATCCAACCCCCATTGAGTATTTCTGTCAAGAAAAATAACTCAGTAAAAAAGTTCTTTATGTATACAGACACAAACCTCAGAGTGTATGTTGACCCATTATCCTCTAGCATCATGACTTGTAACCCCCTTTATCATCTACCAGTAAAGTGTCTTTGACCCTCATGAGTCCCTAGCACATTGTCCTCTGACACCCATAAGTGCATTAGTGCTAAACACTGTGTCTGCTGACTGCCATTATCTCATTTAGCTCCCAGCATAGTGTTTTATGAACTTCTACTACCCTCAGGAAAGTTTCTGAGGTAAGAATTTTCAGGTCATTTTGGTCAACTTTTCATCCAGTCTCCCTTTTGCTGTCATAGTTCTTCCAGCTCATTTGCCTTCCTTAATGACCTGACATTTATAATAATATCAAATCAGTAACTCATATTTAAAAAACCTCAACATTTGTTCATGTCTTCTCTGTGTCCATCTTCATGCCATGGGCTCCACAAGCACCCCTCCCCATGTGCCTCACACACATCAGTTCAGGTTGTCTCAAGGCCTTTGCACTCTCTTTGAAGAACAAAGTTCCTCATATCTGTGTGGTTAGCTCCTTCATGTCTTCCAGTGGCACCTTTTCACAGAGGCCCCTGTGCTTTCCTGCCTGGTTTGAAATTTTGGCCCCCTCCCCTCTATCCTTTATCCTTCCCCGTAGCACTTATTGCCATGGTACCCTGTATATTTTACTTACTTGTCTATGGCTCCCACACTAGAATGTTTTTCCCTGTTTTGTTCACCACTGTGAGCCTTGACCTGTGCCTGACAACAACAAGCATTCCATAAATGCACATTGTGGAGTGTTGACCCTGTTCATCACAACTTCCCTTTGATCTTTTCTATATTGCAGCAGAAGATGCTCCAGTGGGGAGAACAAATTTGCCTAAAACACCAAGCTTTTTCATCTCTAGTTTTTACCTGGGCTGTGCCTCCTTCCTGGCCCTAAAGCTGAAATATCATCATAAAACTTTTGGTCTGATGCCAGCCACTTGAAAGAAGGGAAAACTGATACAGTGGAAGTCCCACACAGATGCTTGGTGTTCCAGGATTTCTTACCATGATTCAGAAATACCACAGTGAGCTCCAAAATCATTGCAGAATAGCCTGCTCACTTTGCCCTAGCATGCACAACCTTACCCCACCCCAGACCCTTACCTATAGACCCACTCCTTATGCTCTGACAGGCCCAAAGCTAATAGTATGAAGGGTCTAAGAGCAAACAGGGCAGACCTTCCTTGGAAGTTAGGTGTCTGACCTAAGACTGGCAGCAGTGGCCTCTGACTGAACACTTAGCTGCTGGGCAGCCAAACTGGAACCAGCAGAATGGTTCCTCCAGGTCAGTCCACTGGTAACAACTGGGAATGGGAAGTAGTGGGGTTGTGCAGAAACGGCTCTCGGCTTTGTGAACAACAGCTTAGTGGTTGAGGATCGGACAGAACCTGGTCAAGGGGGCAAGCCTGGGAATTGCCTCTTTACCCTCTTCAGATTTTGTGGTACTTAGTGACACATCCCATTACTCCACCTTAGATCAGTGTCTGATTCATCTTTAGCTCCCTTTCACCTCACCCTTTCCCAGTATCTGATGATCTACCATATGCCTTCTTCTATCTTTGAACAATGTATGGTGGGCAACCCCCTTTATGTATGGTGGGTTAACCCCCTTTCCTTCATCCAGTACTGTATCTGGGGCTTCTCTAAATGTCTTGCAACCCAGAATTCTACCCCAACTTAGGACAGTGTTTGCTGACCCCTCAAGAGAGTGTCTTGAGACCCCCTTATCCTACCCCAACACAGTATCTGGATACCCATTATCCCTCTTTTACTCCACTACTGTGTGTTTATCACTCCTCCTTAATTCCAGGAAATAGTGTCTGGAGATTTTCTCATTACCTCCTCCACAATTACTTCCAGCATAACGTCTGTTACTTCACTTGTGACAATGCCTAGTAACCTCCATACTCCTCATTTATTCCTACTTTCATGTAAGTAGTGACAGATGACCACTTACTGCAGTCCTCAGAATAGGGAGCTGTGATATACTGCCCCCCCACCCAACTATTAATAATATCTTCTTTTTTTTTTAAGATTTTTATTTATTTATTTGACAGAGAGAGAGCAAGGGAGGGAACACGGGGAGTGGGAGAGGGAGAAGCAGGCTTCCCGCTAAGCAGAGAGCCCGATGTGGGGCTCGATCCCAGGACCCCAGGATCATGACACGAGCCGAAGGCAGATGCTTAACGACTGAGCCACCCAGGTGCCCCTAATAATATCTTCTAATACTCTCTCTCTACTTACAGTAGGATGGTTTCTGATCTCCCTCCATTACTTGTCCATCACAACAATGGTAACTGATTATCTCCCATTTCCCCACCTAGCAGTGTCTGTAATGATTCCCAATCCAGCATGTGGTGATGCCCTCAATAACTTCTCTGAACACTGGTAAGTGCCATTAACCTGCTTCGCTCCCCATAAGTAAGGGCAATGACTGATAATGCACCATAAACTCCACATTTTCATCTGCATTTTGGAGCCTCCACTATCCCCCCTCTCTATAGGACCTCTTAATAATCAGCAAAAAGTCTGTTGATGTCCATTACCCAGTAACACGTTATCTGTGACCACTCCATTAAATCCTGGTAGTATTTGCTTTTCCCCAGTTGGTTGCCACTAACATAATGCTGATTCCCCATTGCCCACATTGCTTCATGAGGCCCCTGAGTGGCTACTGCAAGTTCTCCAGCGTTGCTTCTCCACATCCCCGCTGTTTGCATGGACAGGAGACCTGGAAGAGGGAGAAGGGTTGAGGATGAGATCCTAGCTTCATAGATCCCTCTGGGGAATTAGTGGCCCAGAGTGGGCTAGAGAGGATCTGAGGGCATCAGAAGACCACAAGCTGGCTTCCCATGATGCAATCAGAATAGAGAATAGAGAAGGCTATGGATGTGGATCCAAATCCTGTTGCCAACACTGATCTGCAGACTTTCCCTCCTGGCCTCAATTGCCTCATCTATAAAATGTAATTATGGAGAATGAAGTGACTTAATGTAAGTCAGGGCTTATTAAGGGAGCAGGGCTAGTGGAGCCCACTGAGGGTATCCTGTTATTGTTAATAACATTACTAGTTATAAATTGACACAAGCATCTGACCAACATCTGTATGGCTGTGCCCAAACCTCACAGAGGGAAATGTTATTTTATTGTAAGTTACTTTCAATTATTTCTCTTTTATATGTATTATGATACTGGAGTACTGAGATATTTTTAAAGTCAGATATATTGAGTTATTTATATAGATAATATTTACCCTTTTTAGTATACAATTCTGAGTTTTGACAGATGCATACAATTATGTAATCAACACCATAATCAAAGACCGAGAACATTTCCTTTACTCCCCAAAATTTCTTCCTATCCCTTTTTAGGCAGTTTCTCTCCCTATGTCCAGCCTCTTGCAGTCACTAATTTGACCTCTGTTTCTTGTCTCTATAGTTTTGCTTTTTTCCACAATGTTATAGAAGTATGTGTGCATGTACATATGCATGTATCTCCTTTTGAGTCTGACATCTCTCATTTTATGATTTATTTGAAATTCATCCATGTGGTTGTATGAGATACAGATGGAAAATAAGCTGATGAAAAGATGCTCAACATCATTAGTCAGAAAAATGCAAATTAAGACCATGATGAGATACCACTACATACTTATTAGAATGGCTTTAAAAATTTTTTTTTTAATAGTACCAAAAGTTGTCAAGGATGCAAAGCAGTGGAAACTTTCATGTGTTGCTGTTGGAAAGGTAAAGTGGTTTATCCATTCTGAACCAAAATTTGGCAAGTTCTTATAAAATGAACCATATACTAACCCTATGACCCAGCAATCCCACTCCTTGGTATTTAACCTATAGAAATGAAAAATTATATGTGGACTCAAATGTTCACAGAAACTATTGCCAAAAGATTGGAAACAACCCAAATATCATCAGTGGGTGAGTAATGCAACAAATTGTAGGAAAGCTATACAGTGGGATACTACTTACCCATAAAAGGGAATGATTTATTGACACAAGCTACAACGTGGATGAATCTCAAAAGTATTATGTTTTATCATGTGATAATTTAAATTATATTTGATAAAAAATTATTAGATATTAGATTATAAATATAAATAGGTTTGTATAATTTTGTATGTGCATATTACATAGTAATGTATATTTACAATATATAGCACATTATAATATTTATTGTATATTCCTTATAATAAAATGCTTATTTTGATACATAATATGTATTGTATGATTATTGAATTACATAATTTTTATAATTTTTCAAACTTTCACATAACACTTCAGTTATTTGTATTTTTACATGTTTACATTTAATGTTTATAGTATAAAGTTGTAACTATAATAAAAGAGAGCATATTGTCTGGAGAGCCTGTAGTTGTAGCTGGTCAACATTTTTATTTGTCAACAGCTCAACTCTGGCTGTTCTTAACATCAAGGAAGCTTGCTCCACTTTGCCCAGCTGTGTTC